CCCCCGCAGCCCGAGCTACGAGTGAAAGAACTGAAACTTCCGCTGGGTTGCTTTAAAGTCAAGCTTCAGTTTAAGACTCACCCTGTAATAGATCTAAAACATGTGATGGAGCATTACTAGCCTGACTCAGATGCTAGGAAAGCTCCATTGGAAGCCATTTGGAAAAGTATTTCAAAAATACTTGGCACTATCACTATCGACTACTATCACCTTCTATCATGGGCCACTTCTGATTGGTTAACAATGGCTGCATGTGGAGCACAGCACTTCTGATTGGTGTGGATGGACACAAGAAGAACAAAACTAAACTAAATTAAATAAACATTTTTTAAAAAGATTAAATAAAAAATCGCAGGCTTTGCAATTTGATAATCGCGTAATTTCAAAACGCGATTTCGATTTAAAATAGATTAATCGTTCAGCCCTAGTCTATTCCCATGCTTTAATGTTCAAAACGCTCTTTATTTTTCTCATACTGCCTGTGCTGCAGCACCTCTTTTCACCCTCTGTCTGAAACCAGAGCCCAGTCTGCTCTGGTTGGTTAGCTGGCCGGCTCTGTTGGGATTGGTCAACTGCTTAGCGATGTCCAACCCTTAGCCAATCATGTTTAATGCGTTGCAGCGCTAGCCAATATGAGTGCAAGTGTTACATAGTGATGTCACTATGTTACAGACCCCAAACAGAATAATAAAGCCTCTTTAAGGAGTCCTTATTATAGTCAATATAATGTATATCATTCAGGTCCAACATATATGTTCATTGCATTTCCCTCCTCATAAAACTTTTAGGAAGCATTTGGCTCAATGTACCGCTTCAGAGAGCTGCTAATATTGCTGAAGACTCTCAAGGCTTCTTATGAAAACAAACTAGCTAATCACTCAAGGCAAAATATTAGTCATCTTACACAGTTATACAACCTGCAAATATACGTATATTGTTTTCTTTCACAATGGCCTTTGACAAATGTAGTCAGCTGATATAAAACGACCGGTCATCTGTGTTTATTAAAAGGCTCTGCTAATCAAGATCTACTCTTATAACTTGATGCTTGTTGTTTTATGACTGGTAATAATAAAGACATGTAGCCAGACAATGAATCTTATGTCTGTCTCATATATTTGAGTATCTCACTTACCGAAACACAAATGAAGCATTAATGAATTTTGAGGATGAAGTCATTCTAAAACCTGTTTCTCTTCTCCACAGATGGAAGAACTACTGGATACGAGGAGTGCTGTCTATAGCCATGATTTCTGGCTTTTTCCTCATCATCTATATGGGACCCATCGCTCTTATATTAATTGTAAGTGACGGTGATACTGTAGCTATTATAAGATTCCTAGGGTCAGATGTCTTGGTTTATTTCTCAGAAGGCTTCTCACAGTTGTTCTCTGTTCCCATCATCTGATATAGGTCATGACTGTCCAAATCAAGTGTTTCCAGGAAATCATCACCATCGGCTACAGAGTTTACCATTCCTATGAGCTGCCTTGGTTCAGGACATTAAGCTGGTAAGGAGAATTGATTTCCCTGTGAACAGCAGATATACTGTAAATGTATTCTGAACAGACAATGGTTTACCCTTGCAGTATTTCCACAGGAACTATGCTCTTAAAAGTTTGTTAAACCTTAAACTAAGGTATCGCAATGTGTGATTTTTGTGTAGAAACTCGAGTACCGAATCGTCAACAGTTTCAAAAAGACAAAGAAATAATATTAAGCCCTACATGCATTACATTGATGCAGTTATTGCGAGCAAATCTTGTTCATTTTAAAAGTGTAAATCTTACGAACCCCTCTCAAAAGTTTACACAAAGGATTACCTCTTTTTTTAATCTGCA